TGCTGGGATACCTGAAAGTTTCGTCCATTGAAAGCGCCTACGTTTTGCCACAATCCGCCATCCTGTTACATTAGACACAGTTTTCCTATCATTGTTAGTTACTGGCTCTGAAGATTCGCTCATTTAAATAAATCATTCGTCCATATAATCTAGAAAAAATTTCATCACATCTGGGCATTTTTACCATGAAGTGGCAACCTCGAAAACCTCCCGGTTTTCGAGAATTAAATTCCATTGTGCGAATACCGAGCGTGTTCCTTCCATCTTGATATCACCTTCAAAGATAGCGAGGTCCCCTCTAGTTTCTCTGGATTTGCCGTGGCTATGCAGTCCATCGGTTATGTTTTTGATCCTCTAAAACATTTTTCGAAATTGCAAAGAAAGTTGGGCTGGGTATTGATGAACCGTACTTGCCATTATGCAGTTTTAGCCCATATTTTCGCTGGAATCGAGCGCTGTCACCAGGCTTTGTTATAAGCTATGAGTTTCCGGAGGATGGAGAGGTTTCATCACCCTCGGAAAATGCATATCCTGTAGCATCTATCCGCATGCTCTTTACTTGTTCCATGCCGACCTCTGCAGCAGCTTGGCTCGACCGATAGCCGTCATACTTACTCCATTTCGACCATCTTCGCCCAAGGGCGTTTCACACATTATCCCTCAACTCCATATTATCCTATTCCAACACGCGTATTAATCAAAGCAGCCTGACAATAGAGGCCATCCTAGCACGCGTATCTCAAAATTCGGACAACTAAAGGTCATTCTCAATGATTATCCTTCCTCTATTTACTAATTTATTTATGCAAGTCATATCGTAAACATTTTTATAGGACGCTTTATAATCCTGGTAGGGCCGGCTTCTAAGCATTTTTGTCTTCTATTTAGCACCCTTTATTTGGCTAGCAGCGGCTCCTCATGCTGTCTTGGTTCAAGTTAGCCAAGCCTCCATTAAGGGTAGTTAACATCTGTACGCTAAACTCATTCCCTCACTCCCAGTCATCGCACTTCACCCGTTTTTCTTTACTTGCGATTGGATAAGGTAATTTCTAACCTTCACGTATAAGCCAGTCACTTCCCGGTGAAGCGCAGCAATTCGGTTATTTATTTCAGTAAGTTATGTCAGAACAACAATCCCGCGCTTCAATCAAGACGGCATCAGTCTCAACTTGCCTTGCTGGCCTCCGACTCGACCTCGGAGGATTTCCACTCCATAAATCCCCAAATTTCACAGTGCACTTTGACTAACCGTTGTCATGTAACCAGAGTCCTTATCTCTGTAATGTTCGGAATGCACGCCCATTAATCCCATCGAGCGCACCGAACTTGGCTACAGCCTCAAACATAGGTTCACGGATTCACGGACTCACAGATTGATACACAGTTGCGAGGCTTTCCCAAGTCGGTCTTCTTCTTGTCGTTCATTGACTGCCACTAGCTTGAAAGGCACAAGCGAAAAAAGGGTGTAGCGCTGCTCTTTAAGTTTCGAGCGCGAGTTGGTATGCTTTCCAGTGCGAGGACTTAAAAAGTGTCTGAACTGATTTGACTTTGGTTCTAGCTTGAGGGAGGACAACCATCAGAATAAGGTATTCCACGCCATTAATACCCGAAATGGGAAAAATTGCTCAACGTGGGTGAGCGCTCTAGGCTCACGTCCACACCGCGTGGGCCTCGTAGAGCATTTAAAATTCCATGCCAGTAATACAGAGAAGGTGTGCCGAATCATCCGTACAGCAGCGGATGACGCTTGAGCAATTTCTCATGGTCCAGAAAGAAGGACAAGTTTGAAGAGAGGTAGATACTCAAATACTTCATGGCGTTTAGTATCGTGCTTCCTCTGGTCAATTCTCACCATGCACGACACATGCGTTAGCTGGGTCCCCTCCGGATGACATACGGAAATGCTATTCTTAATCTAGAGGAATGTGCCAGTCCAACGCTCATCGCTTTGCAGCATCTACATTCGGCCGTAGGAAAATGACACTTGAACATGGGCTATAAAGGTCGTTGAAAGGTCCTTGAATTGTATCAGAAATGTTCGGCGGTGTTTTGTCGGATAAGAACGCCGTATTCCGGTGTACATTTACCTTCTAACCCCGTAACTCTTGAGTTTGTGGAGCAGAGAGACGCGTGGGACTTGTTTGAATGCTTTTGAGAGGTAGAAGAATGTGACATCCAATATGAGTCCCTCGCCCGCGACTTGGGTTGAGCTGTCCGCAAAATACGGTGATGTCCATCACGAGAGAACGGTTCGGGCGAAATCCGTTTGGAACTAGAGTAAGGTGATCTAGGATGGCTCACTTCGAAACGCGTTCCATCTTCTTGCACGCGAAGTTTGCTGAAAAGCCTGATGAAGTTTGTGGATAAGCATTTCAACACTGTCTCTGTTGCATCCGAACGTGGTGAGCTGAAAGATGTGCTGCCAGTGAGGTTAGCAGTTCAGTACCCGTACGCCGGGTTTGAGTCCAAAGCATCGAAGAGGCCTCTGAGTCATACATGTCTACTTCATTTGCTCGTTTTTTGCGCCCCATGGAAGTCTAGTTGGTGCGGGCATTTTACCTGTGGGGATGAAGTTTTCCTGTCTTGAGCGAAAATTTTTACCGCTGCTAATTCCAGCCCGTTCGAAACCATCTTTTGTCGACTATGTTTTCTGTTCTTCAGTGACTTAGGGCAAATATGTATCTGTTTGGCTCCTTGGGCATTTTGGGGTAGTTTTATGAACAAGGTGTCTCTGTGAGGCCCCAATTGTCGGTTGATAGCATCAGGAACTATTCCTTTAGGTGAGGATCTCATAAGGTTTGCTTTCGCAGAAGGTTGCACCAGCCTAACATTTCATGATTTGGTGAATCTTAGGTTGCTTGTTTGACTTCAATCACCTAACTTCTGTGCCTGTGTGGACTCCCGAGCCTCTTGCGATCAGCGTGGCCAACTGAGTGTACGAAGGATTTCCCGATTTGAGGTTGTTGTGCTTGTGGCCTTGGCTGCTGGGGACATGGGCGATGACTGTGTTCGCAATCGAAGAAGCCACTTTTGGCGGAGTGGTGCTGAAGTTAAGTAGTTCCACATTCTCAGTGATTGTAGGGTTCTCGCAGCATTCTTTGATGTATATATCAAAGGTTGTTGCTGATTTTTCGGCAAGCATAGCCGCATGACTCTACACTTCTGACCCAGTTAAGCTGGGAAATTATGACTCGGGTATGAATTATATTTTGGCGCCCACATCGTCTGCTACGGAAATGAGTGATGACAGCTGTATGTGTTTTGAGTAACGCGTCCACGCGCGGCTCGCATCCTTACGGGCCTCGCTGCCTCTGGTACCTGGGGGGAATGCGGCAGTCGAGTAGTATCTGTAATCCGGAGTCGCTGATGGTTGCGTTGGTGTGCTTTCGGGAACACAAGGAGCTGGTAACACCATCGGTTTGTGCATGAGGTTGAGTTCGGCTGAACTGAAACCCCGCGGAAGCCTGCCTCGCGAATCTACGGCTTTAGCGACTTTAGAGTGTGATCCTCACATATAGGTAGGCCATTCGAATGCTTGCGGTCTACTCCAAGATCCTGTGTGCTGCAGATGGAATGGAAAGAGGGACTAGAAGCCCGAGTATTCGCTTGCTTGCCTTCTGGCGTAACAAACCTGCTTGAAGGAATCTGTCCAGCTTTTGTGTGGGCACTACCAAGGAGCGACTCTGTCTGCTTCGTTGGCGTGATTCACCTGAGGAATGACCCCCAGATAATTAGCCTGATCTTTCTCATGCGCCTGACCATTGAAGACGCTGTGGCGGCCGTGATTACCGCATAAGAGAGCTGATGACCCACCTCGCAGCCAACAGAACCAAAATTTACAGCGCAAGGTACATGTGTATGGAAGGAGGTCCATTATCGATTTTCGTCCAGGTCACTGTGTTCTGTGTATTTACGCCATTCAAAACTTTAGAAATGATCGCCAGTTTCATGTCGAGTATCCTGATTAAAGTGAGACATTCGCAATGGTCATGACGATTTGGCAATGGGGACTTGGTTTCGTTTTCAATGGTTCTGTTGTAGTTGCAGATGGCGTTGCACCCTTAAGGTGGAAGCAGCTGGCGAAGTTAAACGGGTCGGGAGAGTTATTCAGTTGGTTTATAGTGGATAACGTGAGCAAATACCAGTTGAAAGTAGTTAAATCAAGTGAGAAAAAATAGGCGAGATGATACAACATACAGTTCGTTGGTACAGTTAGTTATTACCACCAAAATAAATCCAAATCGATCTCCTTCCTGGAATCTTCTTTGATATATTCCCAGATACTTTCTATCCCGTCGTAGTCGTTAATTCACTGCCAGCGTAATTCGACACAGTAAGAGGGGAACACGCCTTTCACGAGGTACAGAATTTGTATTGTGTCATATTTCTTTTGCGTCCATTTAAACAAAAGTTATTCGGTATAAACAGAAGAGGAATAAGCTGAGATTTTAGTGAGGGATAGAAAGTGGTACAATTTGAGTAATGATAAGTTACATAGAAAGCAATAATGTACAATGGTCAGAATGATCACCATAGGTGTATCTGGTCGTCCTGTGAATCCGTACATTTAAAATTTCACTAAGCCTCGAGGGACACCTATTTCGCCCATATCTGTTGTCGCGCATCGATGGCTGGGGGAACATACCATATTTTCCATCATGATTGAGACTTGATGCACCACAGGAACCGAGTGCAAACTGACAAAGCTTATGACCGAAGGGTCATGTGAGAGTAAAAATTACATGTGTAAACTCTGTAAACAGATTGAATAGCGAAAGAATTCTTTCACAAATTTGCACGTGAAAAACGAAACAGATTTCGAACGTTCCGGGCTTAGAGACGGTTCCGATCCAGTGAGGTACAGGAAGCCCTTATACACTCCTTACCTACAATCAACTTAGAAACCCTTTTCACCAAAGTCCCATCTGGTTTCTTCCGGCCAGGCTCTGTACGAGCTTACTGTACCCACTCCGCCCGCTGTTTTAATCGATAGGGGCGGACTCGCCCGCACCCCTTGAAAATATGGGTGATCGCTCATCTGGTGAGTGGTCCACCGTGCCGGCTGCTATCTGTTTGTTTTTATTTGTTGCAAGCTTGTACAAACATTGTTAAAAGCATTTCTAATATATATGCCTTACGAGAGGAGTTTAACTACTCCCGTGCTGTTCAATTTAGGGAATCAAGTTCCCGTCTCAGCTGTTCGGATTCCCGTCTCCAGTATTCGACCGGCCCCAAGATCAATTGGAGGATCGCCCAACGTTAACGTGAGTATATAAGTCGGTGTGCACTGGTTACGTAATGCAGAGTCGGCTCACAGAGGGTCATTTTTGCCGCCCGCAGTTGTCTTTATTCTGTTTCCCATGCTGTCTGAAGTCATGCTTAGCTTGCGACGTACAGGACGCTTTCCGCGCACCACTAAAAAAAGCTGAGCATTTACCCCAAGGACGCCTACGGTCCTCAGTCATTGAGAACTGTAATACGAATGTCTTTTCATCTTAGTGTACTTCAGAAGAAGCTCTTTATCCTTCATTACCGAAACGAACCATTGAATCGAACTCCGAGTAAATTTGTAGTCTGGCAAGCTTTTTTGTCTAGGACGGCGTCTCAACCTTTAAATTATTTGCAAATTGCTTTTCGTTGGATAATGGCTATGGGCCAAAGCATCGTATCTTCTTGAGCCGACACTGTAACACATGGTGATGGGAACGTACGGTGGCCCAAATTGAACTAAAGAAGTGTATTAAGCGTAAAGTGCGAAGGGTGTTGATATCAATCGCGAAACCCAATGGAATTGTTTTGGACTAATTTTCAATATAAATTAAGAGCATCCGAAGAATCATAAACATGACTGACATAGGAGTAGCATTACGGAGTTCAGACACTACCCTCTCGAATGGTGAAGTTGAAGTACCACCTACCATTGAGTAGCATTAAGGCCTGTGTGCACAAGACCAAGTGCAACGACTGCACTGTCCACGCAACCTCTGGGGAAATTCCTAGCAGAATGGGTGAGCACGAAGGAAGAGTGAGCAGTGCGCCAAGAAACTCATAAAAGTCGGGTGTTAGTGAGAGACAGCATGGGACATGTATTAGACCGCATTACAATTTCAGTTCTGTTGCGGGGACTGACGAGACGGACCCCCGAGGTGGCGGGAATCGCCAGGCATCTCAGTATGAGTAGGGCGGCTGTCACGTGGTGGTGTGCGGTTATCAGTGAAGAGTCACTTGCAGTCATTATCGGGAGCATGACACCAGCTTTCAATACTGGTGCTGCGCTGCCGTACAACCATCATATATTTGAGGTGCTATTGTGAAACGAAAAAAAGCTGGACGGGAAGAGACTTAATTCTTGCCTACCACAGTCGTCCCGGGGTACCTACGCCCTCATACACCCATTCAGGCATTCTGATAGAAACAAGAACACTACTAACATCGATTAGCAGCCATACGTTGCAGTGTCCGGGTGCAGTCGGGGTCGATCGGTCAACATCCTGCCGTTAGGAAGAGACGAACATACCGTGGTGTGACGGTTTGTATGCCTCCGCGACTCACCGAGCTGTACTTAGGGGCGTCCGTGAGAGACTTGGATAGTGTCATACTAGATGTGTCACCAAAGTGCCCTGGCCTTCCAGATTGGGTGGTGGAACATTTGTAGCAACTCGTTCTATAAAAACGGGAGCGCATTTGTATTTCCCGCCAAACGCCGCTTCCTTTTGGTCAGGCTTTTGAGCCAAAGGCCTCAGTTGAGGGCAATAATCGTCTTCCTGCCTTCCTACGACCATGAATTGCACAATACGAATAATCTCATGCCACACCGGCTACCGCATGGTGCCATCAACCGGATCACCGTGCATGTTGTATACAACAAGTCGGGTTAATAAAAACAGGCTTCTGTTGACGCCTCCTGTCTCTTTCACGTAGTTTTCTCCTTTCATTCACCCTGTTAACTTCTCGTAGACCTGTCAGTTAGTGCTGACTCCATTCGTCTTGCATTGGTTTTGCAATCAACACTTGCATGTCATCCGGAGCTGATATCTACAGGCATCTAAAAATCAATCTTCGAACCTCGACGCTCAGTCACCTGGCCGCCTTCAATGTTCACATTCTGAAGCAAGCAGGATAACAAGCCGCTTTTTGCTCTCACACTGGATTCACACTGATATGTGCTGTATATGAGAAACAAGAATTGAAGATGCAAGCACAGTGGTTGAGCTAACCACCCCGTCAGTATCCACTCGATTTGTGCCACGTGCGTGGCTGCTGCTGCTGCGGGATGTGTTGGGGTTGCTGTCGTCCTGAATCACTAGCGGAACTATCCCTGCCCGACTGGATACCTGTTGATAGTTGTCTCTGATCGGTTTGTCTGGCAACGTCCACGTGGGATCTTCACAAGCGAGCAGTTGATCGATGTCTGTTTCTCATGTCTGCTTTCGCCTTAACTGACTGTAGCTCCGACGCCATCAAAGACAGGTTTCACGACGCCCGGAATACCGTGTTATAGAGAGCTAAAAGCTCGGGTGTAGTGGTGGTTGCCGGAGATTTGAGTGCTTAAGTGGACAGGCTTAGCGTATCTGAGATTCGATTAGGGGGTCGACATGAATTGGACTCTGACGGAAGTATGTCTGATGAAGTCAGTGCAAGAATCTCAAAGGCTCGAATCACGTTTGCTAATTTGCGTCACTTGTGGCGTCAAAAAGGCATCTCACTGGATCTTAAGGGTCGTGTGTACCAAGCTACAGTAAGGGCTGTGTTGTGTGGGTGCGAGACATGGCCTCTTTGAGTAGATGATGTGAGGTGTCTTCAGGTTTTCGACCACCGATGCCTCAGAAGCGTGGCTGGTTTCGGATGGCGTCAGCGTATCAGCAACGAGGCGATTAGAAAACGGGTAGTTGGTTGTGCTGCAGGCACTTCAATCCGGGAAAACATCCAGCATCATCGACTACGATGGCTCGGTCATGTGCTACGCATGCCAAAATACCGTCTACCAAGACGAGTGTTGTTCTCCGTGCCTCCTTCAGGATGG